TTTACCATGGTTCCAAATCGATACACATTCAGTAGAAACTGTACTTTGAGTACCCATACCACCATTCTGGTTTTCACTTTCAAAGCTTTATTATAAAATGTGTTAGATGATTTTGCCTAACTGTAGACTAAGTAAGTGTTCTAACCACGTTTAGGGTAGGCTAGGCTAAGCTATAATGTTCAGTAGGTTAGGTATATTAGATGCGTTTTTGACTTCTGATATTTCCACCTTACGATGATGGTTTTATGAGGACGTAATCCAATCATAAGTCGAGGAGCATGTGTATATTCATTCCTGCAGTCATTGGGTGGTTACTTTGTATAATGCATTACTTTAGACATTTGGGGGAACATGAAGAGAGTGACACTCAGTCCCCGCTGTCAAGGAAACTTTAAATGTAATGGAAGCACAAATGCAGGCCACTGGCCCATCTGAAGAAAGAAGGAACACACCTGGTCCAGGTTATGAGAGCCCGGAACAGAATTCAGGTGGAAGCCACACGGAGCTTTCTTGCTGAAGGATTGGGGGCCGCTGGTGCTATGTAGTGAAGGACAGTGACTGGCACCAAGTGTGAAGAGAGGGGAGGAGGATGGATTCCATGGGGGCAGAACGGAAGCTCTTAAGGCAAAGCAGCAAGTTCCTCCACAGCAATGGTCCCCAAAGAAGAGTCACATCAGGACCAACGTCACAACTTCTTGCCATTTCTGGGGACCTCTTTTACTGTTATTTACTTAATGTTTTCCTTTAAATGGACTCACCATTTTTACCTAAACATGTTACAAGGAAAAAGTTTATGTTAAAGAGAAGTTCTATCATATCACTATGAAAGGAAATAGCAATATTGCGTGCTGTCACGAGGAAGTAGTGCCACAAATACATGCTATAGAAATGGAATGGAATCCAGTTCTGTTGCCTGCTGAAGCATGCAGGTCTGTGGTCTGCCTTCTCCTTGTAAAAAGGGAAAATAGCTAGTGCTGGTGTGGTGACAGCGACAGCCCAGCCCCAAACTGAGCCAACCCAAGACTCTCGGAAAGATTGCAAGGGAGTGGAGGAAGGATAACTTCCTCACCTTCTGATTGGATGTAATTTATCTCCCCGTCTGTGAATTACCTAAAACCACCCCAAGTGCCGCCAGTGGGACATATTCCACCCCAGAACAGATGGAAAGAACCAAAGGGCACACAGCACTGTGGCGCCAGTCATACCTACAGTCCATGCAGAGAGACGGTGAGCTCCGTGAGGGCTGGGACCAAGGGTGGCCATCTGCGTAGACCCCACAGATGCTAAGAGGGGTGACCTCCACGGCCCCTAGCACCGAGAGGGGCACACAGTAAGACCTACTTATCAAAGGTCTTAAGTTAGATCTCACTGACATTCTAAGATCTTTTGGCTCTGTTTCTTAAAAAGTAAAAAATTATTATTATAAGTTCCTAGTGATAATTGCATTTCATAATATCATATTCCCTCCCCACCTAAAAAAAAAAAAAAAAAAAAAGGATAGGAAAGTCAAAAGTGTAAAACCCAGCAGAAATCTACTGATGAGTAGATCCCCTGGGATGTACGATAAGAATAGACAGGTGAATTCGGATAGTCTCAAAGGAAAATGAGGAATCTCTTTCTCGAAGTCGCATCCAAATGCGTGCCCAGGGGCGGAAGAGTCACTGACTGGCGCATGTGCACGAGCCCTGCACAGTTCTGTCCTCAGCAGAGCTGGCTTTGTTCTCCCCGTGTTTCTTGCTCAGGTGCCCTTTTCTCGTTCCATTTCTCACAACACCCCTGCCTGTCGCTTGGCATTCAGCGGCGCAGGGAAGCCTGCTAATGCATTGCAAATGTGATTGCCGCATCTCCTTAAAAGTGCTGTCACATCTCAGCATTGCATTTTCAGGTTTTACCCGGAATTGTGTCAGTATTTGAAGTGGGCTATTTTCTGTAACCCATATCATTATGAATAGGAGACATTAAAGTACTGATTGCAGCTGGAGAATTTAATTTCAGAAGTGATTATACCGCATGTCTAAAATTTGCATTTTTAAAGCAGGTTTCCCCCAAATAATGCCTCGGCCAATACACCTCCGTGTAGAAAGTAGTTTCTTACGGCAAATAGGCTTTTTTTTTTAATATTTGATTTCAGTATGAGGCCAGTCTAATCAATTTTATAAATTAACATAATTTGATTATAATACACTCAAATGTGCTAAAGTGATGACTGTGCTATCATTTTGTAGATGTTCTAAAGAAATACAGTCTCTTATTTCAGACCAGAACTTGCTGGTGCTTATAGCAGCGGTCCCCAGCCTTTTTGGCACCAGGGACCGTTTTCATGGAAGACAATTTTTGCACTGGACAAGGGTGGGGTGGTTGTAGGGTAGGGATAATTTCATGATGATTCAAGCACACTATCTATATTGTGCACTTTATTTCTATTATTATTGCATTGTTATATATAATGAAATAATTATACAACTCACCATAGGTTGGGGCCCCCTGCTTTAAAGGACGCTGGCAAAGATTTGACAGCAGTTCACCACGTTTTTAATAAAAACCAAATGATTGGCTCAGGCACTAATGAAACATGGTCTTAAAGGAGTTCTAATAACCATTTAAATTTTTTCTAAAAACCTCATTGTGCTATTTCTATAGAGTCCCTCACTAGAAATCTACCTGAATATGAAAAAACAATACAATATAGCCTATTTTTCAGGGAGAAATTGAGACTAATACAAACCATCTGACTTCTCTGTTTTTTTAATGAAACATAAATGTTTGTTCGTGGAGGCAAAGCCTTAACTTCTCTAAGCCTCAGTTTCCTCATCTGTGAAGTGGGGGTAATCCTCTCTAGCTCAGAGGGTTGTTAGGAGACTTCATGAGACTCTGCATAAAAAGTACTAAGCACAGTGACCCCAGGCATGCACTGACCTTGGCTTATAGTAGAGGTTCCAATATTATTATCATGACATGGACCTGAGTTGGAACTATCAGGTCCTGAAACATCAAGAGCATCTGTTGCAGTCTTGGCCTCCCAGGGGACTTGGCCCCAGCCAAAAGTCTTTAGGAAAGAGGCACGTCAACTAGATTTGGCGTGCTCTCCAGGTTTGGAAATATCGGTTCTGTCCTCCTGGACATCAGAATCCTTGTTTTTGTGAGCCAGTCACCATTCAGGAAAGGAACAACAGTTAAAACACTGGGGATTTCCCCCAGTGGGAGAAAACACAGGAGAAAAGCTAAGAGAGTGCAAGCACCCCAAAGAGAATGGGAGCGTGCAAGCAGGTCACCCACCAGGGCTCCTTCCTGCCGTCCAGCCCAACCCTCTGCCTGCTCAGCTGACGTTTCTACCAGTGCCCGAAGCCCAGAGGCCTGGGCCCGAGAGCCTCTGCTGCCACTCGCTATTCTCCCTGCCCCTGATCCACCATCCGAACCCCAGTTCCCAGGCTCCCCTCCCTGGGGGCCACCTGAGAGGGAGTCACTAAGGGGAAGACAGCTCCTTAAGAAGCAGGGACCCTGGGTTCAATAGCAAAACCTCAGAGAGATGTGGCTTTGAACCTGTTGGTTTTCTGCAGTGTCGCCAGGAAGCCTGCCCTCCTTAGAGTTCAGAAAACTGTACCAGGGACCACCCGAAATGGAGCCAGAGTCAGAAGTTCCCTACCCAAATCTCTAGCAGAGGAAACTGAACTGAAACTGACTCATGATAGGTACTATAACAGCTTTAGCAAGAGGCAAGCAAGTGCGAGAGGATGCTGGCGAAAAGCAAGGCACTTCCTCCAAGTCCACAGCAGAACCCCTGTGGCATAAAGAAGAATCCTCGCCTTAGCAGGGGCCGGAGGGGCTAATGCAGCACTTGCTCAGAGCAATCGCACCGCTGCTGCTAGAATTATCTCTCTAATACAGTTCTCATCACAGCCCTCTGCAGCTCCAGCGTCTTTGAGTTTCCCACTGAAATAAAAGCAGCATCTTAGCTCGGCATTCGAGGCTCTTCCCACTCTGACTCCCCATAGTTCCCTGAACATAACAAACCCCGTAACAAACTCAGCCTGGAGTTCTCTCTCCCCTTTCATCCTCAAAACCTAGTTCTAGTGGTACCATTCCCAGAGGACATTCCAGAACCCCTTGCAAACTTGCTTCCCTGGTTAGCCGTAGACTGATCATCTTACCAGATACACGGTTTGTTTCTCAGCTCAGAAAATCAGAAAATGGTTAAAAGGCTCTAGCGTCAGTCTGCCTGGCTGGCTAGCTGAGGGATCTTAAGCATTTAAGGGCTCCTTCGACATTAGTTTCTGTTAGGTGGGTTCTAAAACTTGGGCCAGAAGATTTAACCGGTGCAACAATGAGTGGTTACGTCGCGCCCCTGAGTTGAGGGTTAGTTTGGGAAGAAGTTGAGTTTACAGGCTGGAAGAGGTGGTGAGTCCTAAATGCATGTGTGTGTCTGTGATTGAGTTGGGAAAGTTTCTCGACTTCCAAAACCTCCGTCGGATACTAGCAGGGATTCCGCAAAGGGGACTGGATTCTGAAGAAAGGAGCTGCCCAAATTCAGGCTACAGGAATTCTTGCTTTCCTTCTTTTCTTTAATAAAGAATTCTAAATAGGAAGATAAAAAGGAGGCACAAAACAGAACCATAATTTGCCAGGAGGGCTGAGCAGGGGCCCTTGTTCAATATGTTAAGAGGGTCAGGGACACGTCCAAGAAGCCAAGGAGAAAAATCCATCAGAACCAAGTGCTGTGAGTTTCAGCGATGTCTCGAGCAGCCAGAAGGTACTTTACGAATGTGTTTTTTGTTTGATCAAATGCAGTCTTATTCTCATCCATCCCTGTTCTCTAGTAACACAAGCTTCTTTCAAAGTGATGTCTGCAGCCTTAAGTCTTACGAGTCATTCATATTTTATCTGAAACAATGTAACATCTTAAACCTGGCAGTGAGGTCTGGGCACTTGCAAAGACCAGGGTGTTGGACGGCTGGGGTACAGCGCGTGGCGTAAGGTTTCTATTTTCTTTCTTTCTCTTTTAGAAACAGGGAAGATCGACCCAGAGATTCACAAGTACAACACCCCAGGATTCACGGGCTGCCTCTCGCGGGTGCAGTTCAACCGGATCGCCCCTCTCAAGGCCGCCCTGAGGCGGACCAACGCCTCGGCCCACGTCCACACGCAGGGCGCGCTGGTGGAGTCCAACTGCGGGGCCTCGCCGCTGACACTGTCCCCCATGTCGTCGGCCACCGACCCCTGGCACTTGGATCACCTGGACTCAGGTAAGGCCCACAGCCGGCGTGGGCAGCTTGCTTTATTTCTCTAAACCTCAGTTTCCTCCACCATAAAATGTGTTTGAGAACAGAACTTCTCCGGTGACGTGGCTGGAGGACTCAGAAAGAGCCACGGAGTGCTGGGCACGCGAGCTGTCTGCGCGGCGCATGGCATGCCAGCAGCACTCGGGGCCGGAGGTAAACGTGAAGTCAAAGGTAAAGGATGTAGGAATTGTCGACTCCTCGTTTATTGAAGTTCAGGGATGAGATGCCCACACCGCCGTCGGTGGCGTGGCTGTGGGGTGACCTGACCCGATCACTTCCTCCCGTGGCTCCCACTGACTTGTAGACGCACGGTCTGTGTTGCAGCGAGAGAAGGAGGGATCTGCCCGAAGCAGTCAGCGCGGAGATTCAGCTCCTGGCCCTGTATCCATGACTGACACCGTAGGCTTCCAGATCTGGAAGAGGTGCAGTTAAGCTTACAAAACCCGGTGGGGACTTAGTCCCACGGCTGGGAGTGGCAAGACATGCCATTTGAAAGCACAGGACGGAAAGGAAAGGGTGTCACTGATGGCTGCAGAATCAATTGCATGAAAAGCCAGTGGCCACGTAACCCCGCGTGGGGGAGAGCCCACTAAACGCTTGTCGGGAGACTCAGGCCTTGCTCCAAGCCCTGCCCAGGTGGCCCTCGGGCAAGTCAGGTGACCTCTGTAAGCCTCTGCTCCTTTACCCGCACGATGAGGAGGTGGGGTGCATTCCCTATGTGACCTCCAAGTCCAACACCCAGTGGGGCTCTGAGCAACATGTGACGTCACCGATGCTAAAAACAGGAAGGGGATGGGGCGGGAGGCAGCGTAGTGGGGAGGCCTGGGCCCCAGCACCGTCACTGCCTCCCACCCCAGATGCAACTGCATTCCTCAGTTTCCCCATTTCTAAAATGGAGACCATAAGACCTAACTCATAGAATCCCATCTGAGATGCTGTGTTTAAGTCACTTAGCACAACCACAGGCATGCAGCAAGCGTTTAACAAGTTTAGCTGCAATGGCATTAGTAATAATCATGGTTATTGTATTAGACACAATAGTGTCTAATTTTTTAGACACTATTGCTATAATGCTCGAACATCCAGTACATGCTTCTAGACCTCCACACACACACACACAAGCAGATTTCTGATTTGTAACGGCACCTCATATAAACAGCACGCATCATATAAACAGCGCGCCTTTGATTCTTTAATCACATTCCAGCCCGCACGCCGTACTTATCAGCTGCAGCACAGCTACCGTCATCCTGCCAGGATCACACCGTGAACCCTGGCGAAGCTTAGGAAGAAGCCAGAATTGCCCCATTGTCAGAACAGCCAATTCACAGACTAAACAGTCCTCTTTGTTCTGCACACACGGACTCCTATAACTCAATGAGGGGCGCTGTGTGCCAAGGGCCCTTACACAGAATTCCCTTTTATCAGTGTTGTTGGGATTACACAGCAGGCTGGTCTTTCCTCATGGGCTGGCTGGAACAAAGGAAAGCATTCCTAACGCTGCAAGAAGAAAAGTAGGAGTGAAAGTATGAGAGGAGAAAAGACGTATGGCAGGGCCACAGAGGATCAGGGATATTTCTCAGGCTAATTCCTCCAAATGCCAGAGTGGACGAAGACCACAAGTGATCTTGGAAATGCACAAGTCGTCGTGCTGTGCCAGGCACTCGCTGCATAAGGCAAGGATCATGTGCACAGTCAGGGCCAAGGAATCCATTTCAAAAACATCTAGATCCTACCTTGGGCCAATAGGAGTCCGTATTTATGATGACTTAATTTTTTAAAAACTGCTTTTGAGGTCTGTAAGATACAGTTGTAGGAACCAAACAGTTTTAGTTCATTTATCTTTAAAAAATCATGCTTTGTGCATGGCAATTTCATTGTTTTGATTGATTCATGACAACATATAATAGGGAACATTTCTGTTAGCATTCAATGTTCAAATCAAAATTCTATGATTCCAGCCAGGCGAGGTGGCTCAGGTCTGTAATCCTAGCACTTTGGGAGGCCAAGACGGGAAGATTGTTTGAGGCCAGGAATTCAAGAGAAGCCTGAGCAAGAATGAGACCCCCATCTCTACAAAAAATAGAAAAATGAGCTGGGGAGGTGGGTGGTGGTAACACCTGTAGTCTCAAGCCACTGGGGAGGCTGAGGCAGGAGGATCACTTGAGCCCAAGAGTTTGAGGTTGCAGTGAGCTATGAGGCCACCACTGCACTCTAGCCTGGGCAATAAAGTGAGACTCTGTCTCAGAAAAAAAAGAAAAAGAAACAAAATTCTGTAACTACAGTATTATGGCAGGCCTGTGCTATGTATCATGAGGTCCATTTGTAGAAAAACTTCTACTCTGCTGAGAGTTCTTCTCCAATGTCAACCTCCTACAGTATCAACCATTTCCATAATTGGCAAAATGCTTACATGTATCTGTCTAAGGGACTCTATTAAGATCAAAAACAGCTTACAAACTATGAGGCAGAAGAAGGTTTATTTAAATAACATGATTTGACTTTTTTTTTCTTTTAGGTGAATTGAGTCATGAATGTGGGGTGGGGGGCTGAAAGGGGCCAGGGCCAGCTGTAGACACGCGGGAAGAAGGTTACTTAATAGCAGCCTCCAGTGACTCCATGTCAGGAAGGAGAAACATTTCCTCTACCCTCTTAAGTGCTGTTGTGGGAGGCCTGCAAATTAAGCTGATAAAAGACAGATTAACAGGTGAAGAAAACTTTATTCACATGTATACAGGAACTTACAAAAGAACTCAATAAACGGTTAAAGCTAGAGACTCACAGCCCTACCTTAGTAGGTGAAGTGGGCATGGAGAAAAGCCCTCTATACGAAGAACACGTGGGTTTCTAGAAGAACAAATGAGGGCTAAAGTCCGTGTGTTCGTGCAGGTGTGAGTGGTCTGGACCTCTCCTTCATGGCATAACATGAATCCCAACAGATGCTTCAGTTGCAAATACTTTTCATACCAACTCGGGTTCTAAGCGCATCCACCCATCAGCAATTGCATTCTGGGTTCTGGGAGCCTTGGTTCCTCATTCCAAATTCTGATTGGAGGGTTTTGCGTTTTTCAAATAACTTTTCATGCTTGAATAGAATAAGAATTCTTGCTATCAGATAGTCGTAAACAAAACAGCAGTACACACGCAAACATGCCATTTCTACTTGACTCTGTGGAGGGTTAGGACAGTAGGAAAACAGAGTGAGAGCTGATCAGTCCCGGCTTGATTAGGGGACATTTGGAGTAGATCTCTTCGTTGGGTGCCTCGGAAAGTTGGTCCTGGGCCGACAGCCTCAGTTCACCTGGAAGCTTGTTGGACGGACAGACTCGCTGGGCCCCACCCCAGGCTGGCAGAATCCGCATCTACAGCTGAGCAGGGTTCCCAGGTGACTCACCACGTGCACGTTAAAGATTGCGGGACATTTGTGGCTGGTCAATCTAGCGCAGTGCTTCTCAATCTTGGAGGCGCTTCAGAATTACCTGGGGAGCCTTTTAAATTCCCGATATCAAGATTATACTTTCCTGGATTGTGTCCGCAGTTTGTTTGTAGGGAAGTTTCTCCAAACGCATGGAGCACCAAAAACCCCCCGGGAGGGCCCAGCGCTCTCTCCCCAATGGGACACCATTGATCTCTTCCCTTCCTCCGGGAGAGGAGCAGGGAAAGGACACCATCCGAGTGGTCTCCATTTTTTGGTGTATATGTATATATATACATATATATGTGTATATCTAAATATCCCAATGTCTAGTCTACACCCCTGACCGATTAAATCAGGCACTCTGGGATGGTGGGACGCAGGTATCTGTAAATGTAAAACCTCCCCAGGTGATTCCAGTGGGTAGACAAGGTTGAGAATCACTCACCAAATAAAAGAGGGGTCCCCTTGGCAAATGCCTTGAAATAAGGTGCATATTAAAAGAAAAAATTAACTACCCAAATAATGCAAAAAAACCCCCCCACACACAAGTTTATGAAAAGCAACGAAGCTTTTTAGGTGGTGGAAGCACAACTAGAAAGGCTGCAGCAATGAGCTTGCAGAAGGACAGAGCTACTCTGGCCATTGTACAAGGAAGCTCACCCAGATAGGGAGGAGATTTTCATCTAAATTTTAGGAGAACTGACCTGCCTGTTTGCAAGTGGAAAAGCAGACTCGAAACAAGTGAGCGGTAGATCCCAGAGAGAAGCACATCACTGTAGAAGGTGAAGACTTCCCAGGGAAGTCTGGGAAGATATCACATTATTATTATCCAGTGTTTTGAATTGGCTGCTCGCTTACTTTGAAAGATACTAGAAAAAGATGCTGCTTTAAAACGAGGGTTGTGCTTTTCTGAAAAATAAAGCACGCCCCTTGCTAAGAATAGGGAATCGTACAGCCTTAAAGTTACAGGGATCTGGGTGATCAACCAGGGATATTCATTTCATTCCTATACCAGGATATTTTATTTGTTTTGCAGAAACTTGATGATAGAATGGAAATTAGAATTCAAGACATCTCCCCATAGGTCTTGTGATCTTTCCGCTCCCTTGCGTTTCTTTCTTCTGTCTTAGATCATATCAAATGATAAAAACAGAAAGTGTATTCTAAGGTATGCTGGCTTCATGTGATAAGATACTGTTTCTCTTCTGTAACGCTATTGATCGAGCTATTTGTTACCTCTCCAACGTCCTTTGGGCTCTGTTGGTATTTTCTAAAATGAGGAACATTTACGGCTGGTCAAGCTGTGCACTGCACAACCCTAATAGATGTCATTTGCATGGCACTCAGTGGCTCCTAGAGCAGCAAAACATGGTAGCCTTGATAAAAGGTCACCAAATCTTTATGGGAAGCAAACAGACATGGCTTTACACAACACACTAAAAAAGTCATTTCCTGTGCGTTTCTCTTTCGGTCCTTCTGAGTTTGTCAAAGAGAAAGTCTCCATTTAGCTCTGGCACAGGCTTTTAACACCCCTCCCACAACTGCG